AAGAGGAAAAATTCTTAGCCGACACGTTTCGTCCTCTGAGCGACCGTATCAAGGCAATGTAAGATTTATTCTGAGGCAATGTAGGATTTATTCTGTTGTACGTGTTTATATACAAAAGCGAGGATGTCATTGGTTTATCGAGGCTTTTAAATTTGAGAACGTTCATGAACATTCATCAGGCGATTGAATATGGAGGACACAAAGTGTCATAATTCAAAGACTGGCAGAAAGTAAGCGAGTAATATACAAGAATTTATTCTGAGCTAGCTTCATGGACAGTTTTTCCGGGTCAAAATTGTGAGCACGGATGTTTTGATGGGATACATATACAATGAACGTGTTAATTCCAAGTAACTTTTTTTATTAGTGTATGTCTTTCTTCAAATCTCATGACGTTTCGACAACATTTTATTTTCTCACTGTCTTATATGATGTTCTCTTTTTAGTAGCAACGCATAATTTTGACCAGGTTGATTAATTTTTGCATAATGACTAATTGCTGTAATAGTTGCTTACATTTTCCATACTTGATTTGAAGAAATAGAAAAGAAAGACGTTTCAATGCAGCTAAACTTGCAAGTCGGGCCCGGTGCCAGGGTCTCGCTACCACCGAATCTATGATACATCCCCCCCGTCTCTACTATATCTCAATTTTCATTAGGTAATATTCATATAAAATACATTTTTTTTATTGTAACCTAATTATATACGATAATGGATCATATTCAATATAGGTGAACAATTCAACTAGAAAAATTGAAAATAAATGCAATGGATCCAAATAGGAGTTAACAGGCATGTCTTAATAGATCATTCCATTTTAAATAATTCATCAATGTTTTGCTGCAATTTTTAACATCAACTTGAGATTTTAAAAGTTGAAGAATTTTAAAACAATCAACAATATGGATAAAGTAATATGGATTTTTTTTTCGAGACTCAGCATGAGCAAAACAAGTTCACGGATTTGGACGAGAGAAAAAATGAACCCCAGAATGTTGTCAAAATCCGCGAAAATTTTTTATACTTAATAGTTGTGCTTAGTTGTATATAAATCTAGGTAGAAAAAAAAAGCAAGTATTGATAAGATAGCGAGGGTCATAAAGCACTGTCCGAAGACCCCAATAAGGCTTGAAGTCGTGGCGGGGGTCGGGGTCATTGGGGTTGGGGTTACACACCGGCCCTGCTTGCAGTATTAGTAGAAAATACGACATAAAATAACATTTTCAGTAACTATTTTATTATTTTTTTTTCACCATATTATCACAAGCAGAACTAAATTTGATTACTATTACACCTGCTTACAAACGAGTTCCTGATAATAATAATAATAATAATAATAATAATAATAATAATAATAATAATAATAATAAACGTTTATTTATATATTTCCCATTCCGTTGGATTCCTCTCTAATTTTTTTCTTAGACGCACACGCATAGACGTACATACACACACACATACTTACACACACACACACACACACACACACACACACACACACACACACACACACACACACACACACACACACACACACAGTAGTTCAGGGTGAGACACAGAGAAAGAGAAATAAAAAAAAATTGTAAAAGCTGTTTTGTAAAATTAACTGTGAAATTAAAATAACTGCAAAAAAAATACTGAAGTATAAACAATATTAAAAAAAGGTTAATATGACGTATGTCGAAACCATTGAGAGTTATCTCCCCTTCCATTTTCATGTGATGCGTATTGAGTTGCATTCAGGCATTACTACATACTATAACCCCGTCTTTGATCGGGTCTTTCATTACTGAGAATTTTTATAGCGGTTTATATAATATAATATAATATAATATATATACTAGCAGTATAACCCCTCTTTGATCGGGTCTTTCATTACTGGGAATTTTTGGTGTTCAGTTGAAGCAGTTTAAATTTAAAGTCAGCCCACCCGAAAATCAATATTAGTATTATTTAGGTGCAACTGAGGCACGTCCCCAAATGGGGGGGGGGACATTTTGAGGGGGGTCGTCTGAAAAGGGAAATGAATAATGATAAAAAATATTATTGTACTAATTTAAACTAATTATTTTTATTAAAGCTTTTATGAAAGATATATATCCAAGAACAGATAGTAAATAATAAAACGTTGCTGAGAGTTATAATGGACAGGAAGTAGTGGAGAGCCATTGTCGCCAACAATTTGAACTCAAAACCGGCACTGAAGAAACAAAAAAAATTCATCGAAATCAGAAAAAAAAACTGTGGTAACGGATAAACAACACCGATCACACATACGCACATACATACACACACACTTTGAGAATTATAGATATAGATTCTTTTGCAGAACACGAGAAATTGTGAATGAACATTAAAGTTTAAAAGGGGGTCGTATTATACACAAGTACACGTTTTAGACATTTTTACTTAGCTTAAAAAATCATATTTGAAACAGCAAGATTGCAAATACACTCGGCACAATAGGTAATAAAACACAAAGTAGGCAGGTGTTAATTAGTTAATAACAATTGTTTACAAAAGGTATTTCATATGTCGGCCATATTTGTTTCTCTCTTCTTTCTTAATGAAAGATAATATTTTTGCATAGTTTATTAATATACAGAACTATCAGTCAGTCAGTTATGTGCCATGCGTGATACACGCTTAGGCGATCATGTATATTTCGTTAAATGACTGACGAGGCAGATTTTTCCCGCAGTAGGTTGCCATTTCTTTCTGTGGTAGACCAGTTGCCATCCAAAGCTATAGAACCCGGTATGTCCTGCTGGGACAGACCAGGGACATAGCTGGGGTGGGAGAAGAAGAGGTTTCATACTTTTCCCAAAGGTATTAACTAGTAAGTGAATATAAAGGATTTGACTGGAATTCGAACTCGGCTCCACTGATTCCTCAATCCGCGCCTCTATCCATTACTCCACCGTATAATAAAGTCATATCAAACAGAAAAATCTGATTTCTGACTGGAAAAATCTGATAGATTAATTAACACCTGAAAATATATTACCGGGTTTGTCTAGTTTGCACCTTTCCCTGAATATACGAAAATAAGTTTTGAAACGGAAATTTGGAGAAGAAACACGAAATGGTTAAATATTCGGTTTGTTTCTATTCTTTAATATGGGTTCTATAGCCTTGGATGGCAACCGGTCTGGGAGAAGGACAACTCTGAATTTAAAACCTGAGGACCTAGTGTATGGACCGAGGGCGATCCGCACCATTTTATGCAGTCTTCGGCTGTCTGTCAAGAGCTTGGAGAGGAGATGGGCGCCGCCAAGCTATCTGAAAATCATCATTAGGGAAGGATCATTAGGAAAAAAAATGAAAGTCGGTTTGTTCTGCCGTCGGGTCCCCCCGACTATTGAAGCAATCGAGAGAATGATGATGATGATAATAATAATGATGATGATGATGAATATTGTAAAAAATAAATATTTTAGTTCAATATATAGTTATTTTCTAAGCGTAGCTTAGATGTGGCACAAGGCCGAAAGAATGGGGTACCTGGTGAGGATCGAACTCACTTTTTTTTAGTCGTAACTGATCTAGGGAAACAAGCTTGTTAACCATTACACCACGCCGAGGTGCCCATTTAGTCCAATATATATACGACATTGAGGTTTTAGTGGATAATATTTTACAACTTTCAAAAAAAAAAAAAAGACATTCGGTCCATGCTTAGAATATTGCTGCCACATATGGTCCGGTGCTCCTGCTATTCACTTTGAGCTCCTTGTTAAAATCCGAATAAGAATCAGCTATATTATTGGTCCTGATCTGGTGGCTCGGCTTCAGTCACTTTACCACCGCCGTAATGTTGCCTCTCTGTGTCTTTTCTATAAATGCTTTCATAGAAACTTGATTTTAAACGCGATACTGGATTGGCCTCGGGATCTCATCAATTTGCAGTTGAACTGGGTAGATGTGGCCGTAAATTCTATACTAACAGTTTCTTTTCTCGCACTTCTCGCTTGTGTAACTCTCTTCTGGCTCCATGCTTTCTAGCCAACTTTAATCTGCAAAAATTTAAATGCAATGTCAATCGCTATCTACTGTCCTCCTGATTACTCTTTTCTCTTCCCGCTCATTATTAATGTTTCTGTTCCTAATTCTTCCACGCCCTGTAACCCCTTGTGTCGTAATGGTTTTACTGTCTTGCATGGGGGTGATACCAATTAAAAAAAAACACAAAAAACATAGGAATGGCTGTATTGCGGGGTCGTATTCAAGGATGCAATTCATTCCCTGGTTTTAGCTTCAGAAACAACGGAATACGGTACTTGCCACTTTACACTTTCGTACTGTCTTAGTGATGTCGTAATGCATTTAATATTGATTTTACTTATCTTTTGTAAGTAGTTTTTTTCTACTTTGCTTCTTTTCAAGTGTTAATCATTTTATTTTTCTGTCTTTTTCCTTCTTCTTTTTTTTCTTTTGTCTTTCTTTCTTTTTCATTTTGCCTCTTTCTTTTTTTTTTTTTTGCCCACTCTCTTCTTATTCTTTTTATTAAGATTGTTTCCTTTTTTTACTTCGTTTTCTTCCTCTACCTGGTTTATTTTCTCTTTTTCTATATGAATTTCATTATTGCGTCCCTCTGATTTCGTATTTTTATTTCTTTTCATTCTTTTTACTTTAATTTCCCATTTTGTTCTTTCTTTCTTTTTCTTTCTTTCTTTTTTTCTTTCTTTCTTTCTTTCTTTCTTTCTTATTCATGCTTCCATTGTTTCTTCTCGACTATCATTATTTATTATCTTCTTTTTTCTTTACCTCTAATTTTTCTTTCTTTTCTTTTCCTTTTTTCTTTCTTTTATCTTTCTTTGTTTATTTGTTTGTTTGTTTCTAGATATTCCTTTCTTTCTTTTCTTCTTCTTTTCTTTCTTTCTTCTTTTCTTTCTTCCCTTTTTTCACTTTCTTTCACTTTCTATCTTTCTTTCCTTCTTTTTTTTATATCTTTTTAGATTTCTTACAATGTTTCTTTTATTCGATTTTTTAAAAAGTTTTTATTCTTGTTCTTTCTTTCTTTTTTTCTTTCTTGTTTTTTCCTTCCGTTTTTCCTTCTTTCTTTCTTTCTTTCTTTCTTTCTTTTTTTTTTTTTTTCCTTCCTTCTTTCGCTTTCTTTCTTTCGCTTTCTTTATCTCTTTCTTGTTCTTTCCTTCCATTATTCTCTTTCTTTCTTTCTTTCTTTCTTTCTTTCTTATATCTTTTTCCATTTTTTTATCCTCTCAAAGATTTTTATTTTTACAATGTTCCTTTTATTCGTTCTTTTAAATCTTTATTCTGTCCCTTTTTCCAGAAAAAACGCAATTAAAAAAAAAATGGCTCCCCGTACCAAACTCGTTTCTTTTTCTGTTCAACAACATGAAATAATTCTTTCATACATTTCTCAAAGATCTTTGCAATCAGCGCCCACCACTAAGTACGTCAGTCTTTGTTCGACCCAATCTCCTGCGAATAGACCCAACAATAGTAGTCCCAGCTACAAGTAAAGGACCAAGCGTTAAGTGCTGAGGGAAGAGTTAGGGTCCATTCAAGCAGAATCGTAAAGTTTACAACGGTATCGATCATAGGACGGGATGCGTGCTAGTTTATAGAAAAACTGCTGAAACAGAAAGACAGTGTACTTAATAAGGGAGTAGACTGGGGCCAAAGTGGCGAACATATAGGAAAGGCAAATGAACGCAACTAGTTGTACTAACATGTCTATCGGTACAATAAGACTAAAATTTTTTTCATTTCATTCATGAATTACTTTCACAAATATTTTTTTACTACAAGCGCAACTCTATATTACTTTTGCGTTTACAACTTTATCTGAATGTTGCGCTTAAAACTGTTTTCCACTCGAATTGTACTCTAACGCTTGCATGTCTATTGTGCTCTAGGGTTTGCACGTCTGTTGTACTCTAATTGTACTCAAGCGCTTGCATGTTTATTGTACTCTAGCGCTTGCACGTCTATTGTACACTAATTGTACTCTAGCGCGTGCACCTCTGTTGTACTCGAATTGCACTCTAGCGCCTGCATGTCTATTGTACTCTAATTGTAATCTAGCGCTTGCACGTCTGTTGTACTCTAATTGTACTTTCGCGCCTGCACATCTGTTGTACCCTAATTGCACTCTAGCGCTTGCATGTCTATTGTCCTCTATGGTTTGCACGTCTGTTGTACTCTAATTGTACTCTAGCGTTTGCACGTCTGTTGTACACTAATTGTACTCTAGCGCCTGCACCTCTGTTGTATTCGAATTGCACTCTAGCGCTTGCATGTCTATTGTGCTCTAATTGTAATCTAGCGCTTGCACTTCTGTTGTACTCTAATTGTACTCTATCGCGTGCACGTCTGTTGTACTCGAATTGCACTCTGGTGCCCTCATGGCTATTGTGCTCTGGCGGTTGCACGTGTGTTGTAGTCTAATTATACTCTAGCGCCTGCACCTCTGTTGTAATCTAATTGCACTCTAGCGCTTGCATGTCTATTGTGCTCTAGCGTTTGCACGTCTGTTGTACTCTAATTGTACTCTAGCGATGTGCGTCTGTTGTACTCAAATTGTAATCTAGCGCTTGCACGTCTGTTGTACTCTAATTGTACTCTAGCGCCTGCATGTTTATTGTGCTCTGTCGTTTGCACGTCTGTTGTACTCTAATTGTACTTGAGCGCCTGCACCTCTCTTGTACTTGAATTTCACTCTAGCGCTTGCATGTCTGTTGTAGTCTAATTATACTCTAGTGCCTGCACCTCTGTTGTACTCTAATTGCACTCTAGCACTTGCATGTCGATTGTGCTCTGGCGTTTCAACGTCTGTTGTTCTCCAATTGCACTTTAGCGCTTGCATGTCTATTGTGCTCTAGCGTTTGCACGTCTGTTGTACCCTAATTGTACTCAAGCGCTTGCATGTTTATTGTGCTCTAGTGTTTGCACGTCTGTTGTAATCTAATTGTACTCTAGCGATGTGCGTCTGTTGTACTCAAATTGTAATCTAGCGCTTGCACGTTTGTTGAACACTAATTGTACTCTAGCGCCCGCACCTCTATTGTATTTGATTGCACTCTAGCGCTTTCATGTCTGTGGTACTCTTATTGTACTCTAACGCTTGCATGTCTATTGTGCTCAATCGATAAAGCCGATCGAAAATCGATACATTCAACTTTTTCCCTCCGATTTCATTTAAACTCGGTATGTAGGTTACTTACATCATGACGAGCTCAACGATATCTCATTTTTATTTCAAGAAAAAAGAAGTCGTCTTGAAGTTAAAAAAGGTGGCAAATCTTCTAGTCATAAATTTAATAGGTCTTCCAATGGATTTTGGGGACTGAAGCGATTCAGTTCAAATGTGGTTAAGAAACCATAACACTAGAGTCAAAAACCATCATACTTCTGAACAGAAATATGATGAAAACTGTTATGAGATCTTACTCATAATAATAATAATAATTGACTATTCCATACTTAATAAATACTGCGCCTCAGGAGTAGGCAGGGAGTAAGTCGTTCACCTCCTGATGGGCTGTTCGGTTGGACTCTCTGCCTTCGGGCGGAGAGGAACCCGAACGAGGCTACGCCGAAAGGCGGAGTTTCGTTCGGGGAGGTAAACCGACCCTGAACCCGTTTATACGGGTTCAATGGGCATATTTTGGGGCCGAGCCCACGGGCTCGGAGATCCCACGTTAAAAAAACCGGCCTTGTGCCACATGCTGCCCCAGTGGTGGGGGTGACTGAATATCGTCAGTAGTTCAAGTTTTGACCGGCTGATCGGTTGAACTCTCTGCCCGAAGGAGGCTACGCCGAAGGGCGGATTCTCTTTCGGAGAGGTAAACCGACCCTGAACCCGTTTATACGGGTTCAATGGGCTTATTTTTGGCCGAGCCCACGGCTCGGAGGTCTCACGTTAAACCGGCCTTGTGCCACATGACACCCTCGTGGGGGGGGGGGGTGACTGAATATCGTCAGTAGTTCAAGTCGGGTCAAGAGTCGAGTGAAAGGCTGTCCGAAACAGAGTCGCGTTCAGACAATTACTGCAAGACATTGGAATATTGATACTGGTCGAGACTACATTGTTCTCTCTACTAAACCTGATTGTTCATACTAACACTTCTACTTCTCTGTATATATTCCTGTTTGTAATATATCTGTGTTATTCCATACCTGTGTTCGAGTTCTTCTTTATTGGTTCTACCTTGGACTATCACCGTCGTACAAGGAATCGGACCATAACAAAAACAGAATTTCAATCTGGAAATATCTCAATAAATAAATGTTTTCTATTAAATTATCAAAATCTTTTTTATACCATAAAGGGATTTGTTTCCATTCTCAGATTGAAAAGAAAACAAGCAGAATAGGTTCCTAAAGATTACCTGCATTTAAAGAACCGGTTCCTGGAAATTTGGGACGCCATTATTGCTTATAACATCTTGGCCTTGCCGAGGGGGTATAAAGTGCCCATTTTCCTAAATAACTTTTGCCGACCACCTGTTGATGGCATGAGAACGCATGAAACTTTTAGTTGTGGTCGGTCAACTTTCAGCAGGAATTCTTTTGCCATATATATAGAGGGATTTCTGAGATGAGTTATTGTAATTATTTACATAGTTCGGACTGTTGCCCTCATCTTTATTGTCATATTCAGGACGTTTCGACCGTTCTACTCTCCGACCCTCTTCAGGTGATTGGATTTTCGAACAAAACTCTATTTCCTCCACGGGAGTATATTCTTCTAGATCCACGTGCCATGCCTCTTCTTGATATCTCAGTTACCTCCCTTTAATTCAGCTTTCCAAGTTGTTTTGTTCACCACTGCAGTAGTGAACCACTTATTAGGGGTTGCGATATCAAAATCATAAAGCAGACACAAAAACCTACATTATTCCATAATGGGTAACTGTCGAACAAAAGAAATAACACAGACTTTAATATTGCTATGGAGTATATGATTCTGCAGAGGCATGTGAAATGTTTGGAATCATCTTATTGTGGCATCTAAGAATTATTTTCGACATCAATAGCGATGACGTAATCAAGTCCAAGAAATATAGACCGACTGTCGAGAAAATCTCAACCTAAGGAAAAAATCCGGGGAAATGAGCGAAGGTACTTACTTTAAGTTGCGAAAAAAATATCTACTTCCGTGACGTATTTTCTCCGCCAGATATTTTGCGTAATATAACAAAGGGTTAAAAAAAAAGAGGAAAAAACTTTTCCTTTATAACCAATTCAGTAATCACGTGGTAACAAGTCACGAAACCTTGTAAGTATAAAAAAAATTGGTAAAAAAAAAGGTAACAGCATTTAGTCGACCAAAACAACCCAAGTAAGTACCTTAATCCCCACACCTGAACCGTTAATTTTTTCACGTGCCTGAGAAAGGAAATGATAAAATTTTTCAACGATCACAAGCTAAATATTACCACTACCACCAAGTAATCAACTTTCTAGATGTGACCTTGAACTTGAATAACGGTTATTATAAACCGTATACCGAAGATTTACATAACCATGTCAGTAAAGAATCAAACAACCATCATAAAATTCTAGATAATTTACATAAATCAATCCAAGTTCGATTATCAACCAATTCCAGCAATAAGGAAATGATTGATTATAATAAAATTAAATGTATAAAAGCATTAGAACCGAGCAACCATAAAATAAATTTAGAGTATTTAGGAAAAAAACAAAGAAGGTAAAAATAAACAGAAACACCGGTTAATCTATCTTTTAATCATAATGTTCAAACGAATATCTGAAGAATTTTCCTAAATTTAATTCATAAGCATTTTAAGCATTCACCAACAAAAATAATGTTAAGATCAGCTATAGGTGCGTTAGTAACAGCGATATCCCAACATAACAATATTATATTAAATAAATATATTTCCAACAAAGACAACAGGATTAAAAAAAAATAAGTGCAACTGCCGAAAAAATATGACTTGTCCCTTAAATGACAAATGCGCGTCAGATAATATTGTATACCTTCCGGTAACAATGTCAAATTTTATTTTGGTTCCACATAAAATCATTGGAAATTCTGTTTCTTCTATCATCGAATGACTTTAGGCAATATAAAATACAAAAACAGCAATAAATATTTCTAGTAATTAAAGAATGTTAATGCAACTATTATTACGTGGGATATCGTAACAAGAGCCAAATCTTACAATGGGATAGGCAATAGATGTAATTTATGACTTGTTGAAAAAATAGTTACTTAATACACGTAACTAACCCTAGCTTATTAAACAAAAGAAATGAGTTGATGTTTGTATGCAGGCATAAAAATAAATATCTGCTCAACTACGTTCGTCCAGATTAATTTCTAATGTAAATTATGATTCTTTTAAAAACAAACCAGTAATCTCACTGTATGCATAATATAAAAATTATTATCCACAACTGTAAAATAATTTCTTTTAAATGACAAATATAATTTTTTAAAATTAAAAAAGTGTAATCCGAGTATAATATATAACTGCGCCAACATTGCGATGACCAGATATCTTTTATTAAAATTAAAATTGCGTAACGGTCAGTCTATACACAGCAACAGAAGATTGCGTTGCGCATGAAACTCCGAGTCGTGCTATCGGTGAGGCATAATATGTATATTTATTACTATATATATATATATATATATATATATATTCTCACTGCCATTGTTTATCTTGTCAGAATTTACAGTTATTTCTCCTTCTCTTTCTTTCTTTCTCTCTCCCCCTTCCTCCCTCTCACTCTCTCTCCCTTTCTCTCTCTCGCAATTCTTTCTTTTTCCGTTTGAATTTAATCAAACAGTTCATTTTTTCTTTCTCTAATTCAATGCCATATTTCTTGCCTTATTTCTTATCCCTCCCCTTCTCTCTCTCTCTTTCTCTTTCTCTGTCACTCTCATTTTCTCTCTTCCTCTCTTGGTCCCACCACCCACACACACACTCTCTCTCTTGCCGACACTACTTGTCAACACTTGCCTTTCTTTCTCTTTTTACTTTCTTTCTCCATGCTCTTTTCCCTGATCTCTCACACTATGTATCTCTCTTTCTCTCTCTCTCACAATCTCTATTACTATCTCTCTTTTAGTCTCTCTTTCTCAGTCTCTCTCTCTCTATCACTTTCTATGCGTATATGTCTTACAACCTCTTTCTTTTTTCATTCTACATATTCTTTTCTTCTCTCTCTCTCTCTCTCTCACTATCTCTTCATCTTTCTTTCAGTCTCTCTCCCCAGTTTCTATCTCAATTTTTCTGTCGCTCTCAGTCTCTTTCACAATCTCTCTCTCTCTCTCTTTCTCTCGGTCTCGCTCTCACAATCTCTGTCAATAAATCTCTTTCTCAGTCTCTCTCTCTCACGCACATTATCACTCTCTCTATATATCTTTTTCTATGCGTGTATGCCTTACAACTTCTTTCTTGCTTTCTCTCTCACTATCATTTTTTCTCTCAGTCACTCTCACCCAATCTCTATCTCAATTTCTCTCTCTTTCTAAGTTTCTCTCTCTTTCTCGCTCTCCTCAATCTCTCTATCTATCTCTCTCTCTCTCTCTCTCTCAGTCTCTCTCTTACAGTCTCTATCTCTCTTTATCTCTTTCTATGCGTGTATATCTTTCAACCTCTTTCTTTCTTTCTTTCTTTCTTTCTTTCTTTCTTTCTTTCTACATGGTCTTTTCCCGGATCTCTCTCACTGTCGTTCTCACCCTGTCTCTCTTTCTCCAAATCTTTCTCTCCCTCTCTCAATTTCTCTTTCTGTGCGTGTGTGTCTTTTACTGCCCTACTTTCTTTCTTTCTTTCTTTCTTTCTTTCTTTCTTTCTTTCTTCTATTTTTTTCGCTATCTTTCTCTACGGATTTCCATATTTCCATCTATATTTCTCCCAATTCCTCTCTTACAATTTTTTTACTATCACCGCCTATTTATGTATATTGGGCAACTCTCTCCCTCTCTTTGTTTTCTTTCTCTCTCTCACTCATTCATTTACACACACACACACACACGCACGCACGCACCTACACTGAGTTCCATAGCCAAACATTTCTACTCATACATCAATACTTAACGCCATACAGCTTTTGACAATGACGCCCACTAACATTGCATGCTAATTGATATACTTCGTGTCTCCTTCGTCCTCACTAAATACACCGGGTGCAACTCCTTGATAGTCAGTCGCAGCTGACAGAACACTCGTTCTTGAAGAGGCCATCTCTACTTGTTTGACGGAACAGTCGACAACTTATGCGCAGTCAATCTTTTTGCCGGAAATCTAGCGACGGTCGCCGGACGAACTTTTCCATTGCTACGACAGAAGGAAGAGAAAAGGCGGAGAAGAGTCAATGATCTATAGTAGAAAATAGAAAATCGACAAGACGAGTTAAGGTAAGAGAGAGAGAGAGAGAGAGAGAGTAGTAAAAAACAATATGGTGGACGTTCGGGATGTACAAATGTTGAATTGAGAGATAAGAGAGAGAACAAAAGGGAACGTAGATTAAGAGAATTAAAAGCAAGATTAAGGATCCAAGAAGAAGAACTGAGGTGAAGGAAAGAGAAAGAAAAAAGGCGAAAAAGAATGAAAAAAAAAAAAAAGAAAAAGAGAGACGCTAGAACAAGAGATATAAATCCAAAAATGAGCTTTGAAGGCGTGAGCAAAAGCACGCGATTAAATTCAAAGAAATAGAGTGGATAATGAAAAAAATAAAGATGAAAAGCTAGAATAAGAGATATAAATAAACGAATAATATTTAATGAGAAGAAAAGGACAATAAAACGATTAAAAACCCGCGAAAAGGAATGAGTTTTGGAAGAGAAAAAGAAAGAGATTAGAAAATGAAAGAGAAATAACGCGATTAGATTAAGGAATATATATACATGAAAGACAATTAATGACAAGGAGAAATAACCCGATTAAAAACCCGGAAAAGGAATGAATTTTGAAAGAGAAAAAGAAAGCGTCTTGAATAAGGTTTACTACAAAAAGAAAGAGGGTAGACCAAATAATATAAATACCCGAATCATGTTTAATGAGAAGGAAACGGCAATAACATGATTAAATGCCCGGAAAAAAAGAATGAGATTCAAGAAAAAGAAAGAGGCAAGGATAGTTAACGTAAATACAAGAATAAGTTTCAATGAGATAGAAAAAGAAATGAAACGGTTAATAGCCTGTACAATGAAGAAGTTTTGAAAGAGGAAAAGAAAAAAAGAAATTAGAATCTGGAACGAAGATGTCAGAAATATGGAAAAAGCCAGTTGAATAGGGAATACAAATCCAAGAGTAATGTTTAATGCTCACTATTACTAGAAAAGCCCGACAAAAGAAAGAATATTGAAAGAAAACAGGAAAGAGTTTACAATAAGAAATATAAAGCAAAGAGAAAGAAAGAGCAACAACACAGTTGAAAGAACAGAAAAAAATGGCGCTTGAAAAAAGAAAAAAAAAAGGAAGATGCTAAGAGAAGGAAAATCTAAGAATGAGATTAAATTGGAAGGAAAAAACAATAACAAGTTTAGAAACCGAAAAAAAATGAGATTTGAAAGAAGAAAAGAAAGCTGTCACAAAAGGGAAAAATCAAGAATAGGGAATATCAGTCGAAGAATGATGTTAGAAAATGGAGAAAACGTGAAGAAAAGAGAATATAAATTCAAGGATTAGATTAAATTAGAAGGAAACTGCAATATCAAGATTTGAATCCGGAAAAAGAACGAGATTTGAAAGAAGAAAAGAAAGCTGTCACAAAAGGGAAAAATCATGAAGAATAGGGAATATCAGTCGAAGAATGAGACTAAATTAAAAGGAAAGACCAATAACAAGATTAGAATTCAGAGGAAGGACAAGATTCGAAAGCTAAGAAAGATGTTAGAAAATTGAAGAAAACATGAAGAAAAGTGAATATAAATTCACGGATGAGATTAAATTAGAAGGAAACTCCAATATCAACATTTGAATCCGGAAAAAGAACGAGATTTGAAAGAGAAAAAGAAAGATTTCAGAAAATGGAGAAAGTGAGAAGAATAAGGAATATAAATCCAAGAATGAGATTAAATTCCAAGTAATCATCATTACCAAGATTAGAATCTGGAAGAAGAACGACATTTGAAAGAGTAAATGAAAGATGTCACAAAATGGAGAAAACATGAAGAATATGGAATATAAATCCAAAAATGTGATTAAATTCGAACTAATCAATAATACCAAGATTAGAATCTGGAAGAAGTACGAAATTTGAAAGAGAAAATAAAAGACGTCGCAAAATGGAGAAAACCTGAAGAATATGGAATATAAATCCAAGAATGAAATTAAATTCGAAGGAAATACCAATAACAAAATTAGAATTGGGAAGGAAAAGGAGATTAGCAAGAGAAAAAGAAATAGGTCAGTAAATGTAGAAAACATAAAGAAAAACGAATATAAATCCATGGATGATATTAAATTGGAAGGAAACGCCAAAAACAAAATTAGAATCCGGAAAAAGAACGAGATTTGAAAGAAAAAAATGAAAATGTTACAAAATGGAGGAAGCGTGAAGAATAGGTAATATAAATCCTAGAATGCGATTAAATTCAAAGGAAATACCAATAACCAGATTAAAATCCGTAAGAAGAACAAGATGAGAAGAGAATATGGAAGATGTCACAAAATGGGGAAAGTATGAAGAATAGGGAATATCAGTCCAAGAATGAGATGAAATGAGAAGAAAACGCCAATAAGCAGATTAGAATCCGTAAGAAGAACGAGATTAGAAAGAAAAAAAAGCTGTCATAAAATGGATAAAGCATGAAGAATAGGTCATATAAATCCAACGATCGGGTCACTTCGAGGGGGTGTAATGGTTAGCAAGCTTGTCTCGCCAGAACAATTACAACTGAGTAGTCAGTTCGATCCTCATTGGGTGCCTTTTACTTTTGGCCATGTGCCACATCTAAGTTACGCTTGGAAAATCACTATAAATCCAAGAATGAGATTAAATTAGAAGGAAATACCAATAACAAGATTAATATCCGGAAAAAGATCGAGATTTGAAAGTGAAGAAGAAAGATGTTAGAATATGGAAAAAAAACATGAAGAGAAGTGAATATAAATGCACGGATGAGATTAAATTAGAAGGAAACTCTAATATCAAGATTAGATTCCGGAAAAAGAACGAGATTTGAAAGAGAAAAAGAAAGATGTCAAAAAATACATGGAGAATACGGAATATAAATACAAGAATGAGATTAAAATAGAAGGAAATACCAATAACAAGGTTAGAATCTGGAAGTAGATGAAGATTTGAAAGAGAAAATGGAAGATGTCACCAAATGGACAAAGCGTGAAGAAACTGGAATATAAAACTATCGAAGAGATTAAATTACAATAAATCACCAATATTAAGATTAGAATTCGGAAGAATGTGATTTCAAAGAGATGAAAGATGTCACAAAATAGAGAAAGCATGAAGAATAGGGAATATAATTCCAAGAATGAGATTAAATTAGAAGGAAATACCAATAACATTATTTACATTATTCGGACTATTGTCCTCATCTTTGTCGCCATATTTATCACAACGTTTCGGCCTTCTTCAGGTGGTTGAAATTTCGAACTGAACCCTTTATTTCGCTCACTGGAGTAGACTGTTCTATCTGCCATGTTTGATGGATGTCAGTTATCAGTTATATCCTGCTAATTTCCCTCTGAAAGTTCTCCACTGCCTTAACCGGGTGTTGAACTTACACTCTTTGGGTCCTGTCCCTGAATCTAACTGTTTAACTGATGGATCTAACTGATCTAACTTTATCCACTGTGCCATGTGTCCCTGATGACATCTGGGTATGAATTTTTGGGTATTATAAATCTAATGTCTTCAGCAACCATTTTTACCAGTGCAATTTTGCTGTTATCACTATATGTTTTTACCAGAGCTCATATTGCAACTTTGTTGTTATCATTACTTTTCTCTGGCACTCCTTATTACTGGTTCCCATATTGTATTTATTTCTATGCTTGGTCGGCTCAAGAGATTTTTGTGGCCTAGCATATGTGCTGATTCCTTAAGTTTACGAATTTTCCAATGGTGTTCCTTGTCTATGATCTCAACATGATCACACAGGGGACGGTGATCTCCCTTCTCTCTCCATATGTGGTCAGCCACGCCTGATTTTTCTACTTCCCCTCATGTTACAGCTTACTGGTGTTCTTGAAGCCTTACCTTGAGGGGGCGGCCTGTCTCTCCTTTATATTCCTTTCCGCAGCTGCACGGGATAGCGTACACAAAGTCTTTAGTCATGTCCTCCTCTGTGGGGGGGGGTCTTACTTGGGAGAGATATCTGCGAAGTGTCGTCAAGCTTTTGAAGGTTGTCCTGATGTTATATGGACCGCAGATCCTTTGTATTTTCTCTGATAAGCCCTTCACATAAGGCAGACAGACTATTTTCTGAGTGTTGTTGTCCTCCTCCTCTTGTACCTGCCTATCCCAGTTTTGGGGGGATACTGCCATGTACCCAGGGTAGTTGTTAAGTTGTAGGGCACTACTTATACTGACCAATTACTTATCTAACGTCTCTGGGTCTCCACTTATGACTTTTGCTCGGTGTTGTAAACATCGGACGATCCCTTTCTTTACGCTGTATGGATGGTGGGAGTCGAAATTGAGGTACTGTCCGGTGAATGTCGGTTTATGGTATACGAATGTCTTAAACCCATGCTCTGTTCGAGATATTAGAACATCCAGGAATGGGAGTGTGTTGTTACTCTCTTTCTCCATTGTGAACTGTATCGAAGGTCTTATTGAGTTCACGCGGTCCAGTAGAACCTGAACATCTTCCTGGTGTGGCCAGAGTATGAAGGTGACATCTACGTACCTTAACCATATAGTTGGCTTTAGAGCTATAGATTCTAATGCCATTTTCTCAAAGTATTCCATGTATATATTCGCCATTGCTGGTGATAATGGCAAGCCCATTGCTAAGCCCTCATCCTGTCGATATATGTGTGATCCCATTCCGAAGTGTGTTGTTTGTGTACAGAAAGTCAACATCT